ATATATATATATATATATATATATATATATATATATATATATATATATTTTAGTGGTGAGAATGAGGAGGGTATTTACGTCTTTTGCATATACTGTAAAAAACCACTTGTGCGTAGGGTTTTGCAAAAAAAAAAAAACGAATTTTTACGTTGCGTTTGATTTTTCATTTATAAAAACCAAAAAGAAAAATATTAAACGAAGCAAAAATACCAAAAAGATGTCTTCTATGTGGATTGGTTAAATCAATTAAGTACGTTAAAATAATTAACTTGCACTTACGGTTTTCGTTGAAAATTGAAATAATGAACATGTGATCAACTCGTCTTATCTTCTAAATAATAATAAATTAATTAATTAATTGATTAAAAAAAAGAACAAAAAAACAAACATAACGGTTTTCCAAAGTGAATAAAGTTTTAACTAAACGCGTTTTCTAAATTTTCTAATGAAAACTAAAAATGAAAACCGATAGAAAAATACACATCTAAACACGTTTTCCAATTTTCTAAAACAGAAAATAAAAAATGAATAAGTTTTAACTAAACGTGTTTTCTAAACTTTCTACTGAAAACTAAAAATGAAAACTTATTTCAATTTTCTGAAAACTGAAAACGGAAAACCAAAACTGTTTTTCCGTAACTAAACGCAACCTAAGTTTTCTGTGCAATATGAGTATGTTGTAAGAAAACTTATTATTAAGATCAAATGAAAATTGGTACAAATATGTAAGATGATTGATAACATGATTTTATATCTTTCAAAGATAAGTTTACCATGTAATTTTTCAAGAACTTGAATAGCTTCAGAAGAGGAGTAGCCTTCATTAGCATCCAAAATAAATAGACAATGAGGATGGGCTGCACGTATAGCTTGAAGCACTTCAATATCTGTATTCAAATCTTTTCCAACTTTAAGCTTCAAAGTCTTGAACCCTTCTTTACAATACTTTGAAGCCAATTCACCAGCTTCTTTTGGTGAAACAATCGGTATCTACAATAAAACATCACTTTAAATGATGTTATCTTCTTTTTCATTGTTGTTATTTATAGGCTCTGTCTCTTTTAAAAGATATTTGAGAAAATTATGGCATAAAATGCATAAAAATTGAAATACTTGGATAGAAACTGAACTGTTATATCTGTTGTTATTGTATTTGAAACTCCACCAAAGAATCTCCATAATGGCGTGCCAATGCTAGTAGCAACCGCATCAATCACAGCCATCTCCACCCCTGCTCTAACCTTTGAGGCATATAGAAATATTATGAGAACAAAATTGAAAAATATATAACATGGAAATGATAATCATGATTCATGAACAATGGAAGCTATGAAAAGTAAAAAAGTAAACAACTTACAGAAGCAAAATCATGTCCAGGAAGAAGATGACCGATTTCTCGCAACACATCACCCAAACTCATCGCTTGACTCTTCTTCAAAAACTCACAAGCTTCCCCTGCTTTCTTCAAAGCCGTGATCTGATCCTCCGCCGTGACAAATGGCAGAATCGGAGACTCCCCCCACCCAACACACCCGTTATTCAACTCCACACGAACCGCGACGTTCTCCACTCCCTCGAGCCTCGACGACGCAATCGTAAAAGGTGCAATCAATGGCACGTTTAATTGCCTTCCTTCTGCTCGATGAATGTCCACAGTGAAACTCTCCATTAAATTTTTGAAACCCAAATTAGATTTGGTTGCCGCAGCGGCGGGGGAAGGGGTGGGGTAGGCCATCATTGCCACCGGCGTACCCCCGTCGACTCGGGGTTTCGTGTAAAGTTTTGGGGAAAACAGTGAGAACGCAATTGAACCCATTAGATGATAAGAACAACGTTTGGGAGTGACTGTATGATTTGGGAAAATATGGTTTGGCTTTTCGTAAATTATAGCATATGCGAGAGAAAGGTGCTGCTTCCTCCATTGTTTATTCTCAACAAACCTCGCTCGATTTGTTTAATAGTGGAGTTTTGTAGGAATTTGTGGGGTCTGGATCTGTCTTGGTCATTTTATATTGTTGGATTCTTGTAGGTTTGTACAGTTCTTCGTCTTCTCTGAACTTACTTTGTTTCTTCCAAGTGTGCAAAGGGCAGGCAAACTTTAATTTAACAATTTTTATTTATCACACTAAAAGATTTTTAATCATTAAAATATAAGGTTTCACTTGTGAACGTATTTAGTCCTTATATGAGTGTCTATACTAAATAATGGGTTCTTAATGATGTCACATTCTACATGGCTATTAGAAGTTGTTAATCATATGATGTAATTTATCCTCCATAGGGATGCGTTTGTGTGCCTTAGTTTGAACATTGGATTACGAACAATTGAACAAAGCTCCAAACATGTCATCTTCATCTAGATACTCTTACCAACAAAGATATTCAACATTAGACTACAAAAATCTTTGCAAATATGGACTTCCTTCTCGAATTTGAACATCAATGACCGAAGACAGCCCTAGAAGAAGATTTAGGGTATTTGCAAACTCAATGGTAAGTGTATTTTTCGTCATTTTTTAATATAGAGCAACATTCTTTTTCTAATAATGTGATTTCATTTATGAAGAATCCAAATAAAAATATGTCTTGTGGGGATGGGTTGATCTAAAATCAGTGAAGTTTAAGGGTAACGTCAATGAAGAACTTAAAGATGTGAAAAGTTAACCGAACAATTACAAGTTCATATTCAATGTTGAGGTTTTGGATGTGAGGAAAGGCTTGGTAGAAATCAAGAAAGAACTATTCAGGTATATAGTGATATTGGTTGTTTTGTTTGTAATTTAATTCTTTAAGGCATTACTTTGATTGACATCTATGTGTTTTAAACCTTAGTTATAATTAATGAACACTCACAAAATGTTCAATGATAATTGTGTACAAAAAAGTATATTTTAGGGACATCTTGTACACAACAAAAGTTCATTAAGTTATTAACCATATTTCAAAATACCTTACATAATTTTTGAAAAAACTACATTACTAAAATGAAAAAAAAAATGAAATTATATTATTAAAAAATAACATTTCTCTCATATATTTAAAAGAAGCAAATATATGTTTCGCAAAAACCTCTTGAGTCATAAAATGGCCATCGATATATTAAACTTATTTTTCAACATTTTCCTTGTCCATTTTTCCAAATATCATTTTAAGCGATGCATCTCGAGAACCATCGAAATCTTTATGTGATCGTCTTGTTGTGCAAGTAGAATCAAGTAAAGTATTATCTAATCTTTCTAGGTTATGTAATATGTTGAATCTACGAATTGACGAGCCACTTTGTGCAACTAGAAGCGCTTTATGAAATAACTATTTTAATATTTTTATGTATTTCCAAGCAACATTGTAGTCGTTGAATAAATGTATTCAAAATAGATGTATTTTCTTGATAACATATGTTAATTTGGAGTTGTGTTATGAAAATTTATGCTTTGTGAAACAAGAATATTTCGTCAACTTTTGAACTGTTTTGCAAAAGGGTCATGTTATAATGTATTTTTTAGTGATATTGTACTTATTTGAGTACATGTGTACATAATATACAAATTTTCTCGATACTTTGAGTTGATGAAAAAATATAAGTTCCATGGAACAATACCTCTTCTGTGAACTTCTAATTTTTTTCACAAAGGGGCTACCTTTTCACAAATATTAACATTGTAGATGTTTTTAGTAATTATGTACAAAATACATGTATTTGGTTGTTAACGTATATAAATTAAAATGGAGTAGTTTGAAATTCAAAGGGTTGTGAAACAAGAACCGTTCCACAAACTCTTAAAATGTTTCACATATACGTGTTTGGCACGGAGCTTTTGGAAGCGTTTGAGAGCTTCTAGCTTTTAGCTTTTGACAAAACGCTCTAGTTTAAACAAAAAACTTCGTTTGACAGTACGAGCGTTTAGCTTTTAGTTTAAACAAAACGCTCCAAAATCTAAAAGCTACTTCATGTAGCGTTTAACAAAACGTTACTGAGCTTTTGAAATCAATTTCCATAATTACCCTTAAAAATATATTTATATATTTATTTATTTTTAATCAATTGTCCTTTTATGTAATTTTATATATTTCAAAAGCTATCAGCTACTTTTGCCAAACACTCATATAACAAATAAAAGCTACAGTTTCCCGCTACCAGCTACCCGCTACACGCTACACGCTACCAGCTACCCGCTTCCAGCTAACAGCTACTTTTGCCAAATACGCTCATAGTGTATTTTGATGTTTTTTGATATATTTTGTAGGGTGATATTATATTTACTTAGTAAATATGTATAAAGTACGTGGTAAATATGTACAAACTACGTGTATTTAGTTGGTGACATATGTTAAAATGGAGTAGTATTTTAAATTTCAAGTTTTACGAAACAATGTCAGTTTCATATACTTTTAAAGTGTTTCATAAATTGTCTACATTAATGTATTTTCTAGTGACATTGTAGTTGTTTGAGTAAATATATACAAATTACGGTGTATCTATAATGTTCTATTAATGAGAAACTTTTCACGAAATTCTAAATGTTTTGTGAAGTGTCCATATCAACGTTAATATGCAAGACAAAAAATACATGGTGATGGAGTAATGTGTTTTAATGTTGGAGACTACGGCTTGTATTTTGGATGACATAAGTTATTTCTCACATCAATACACAATCATAAAGCATGTCTAGGGCCTGGTTTTTCCCCTAGCTTCATCCTAGTTTGCCATTGTATATTGATTATTTACTAATGTTAATGCATGAGAGTTTGAAGACGTATCAGACAAGGACGTTGTTCATATATGTATTTTCGTTAAGTTGGAGGTCAATTTATTGGCTTTTAAAGAATTAGGTAATATGCATCGTGGTTGTTGTGTCGCTGAACCCACAAATAATAAGAGGTATAAAACTACTTCTAGTTATACTAATGAATAGTATAGCTGAAGAAGGGATCAAACCCATAGGGACACATAAGTTGTTATATACCACTTTGCACAATGTATATTGACTTGGCACAAAAATAAACAATAATTAAATGAGTACGTTTTTAATTAACTAAAAAGAAAACGAAATTTAACTACAATAAAATAAACTAAAGCTAATATCTTGAAAAGAAAAATCATATTTAAGAAAATTTCAGTTTCGTATTCGCTTCAACTCTATACAATTGGTCATGAATTGATGTTTAGACGCTTTTAATATAAGTTGGTACTAAGTAATATTAAAAAGCTCTAATATCCCTTTTATTTTTCAAATTATCTGGTCCAAGCAAACTCTTTCACTAGAAGTAACTCATCCATACAAATATATTACTTACCATGGACATACATGTCACAACTGGCATTTTTAGCCAAGAAATTTTGTAATCATGTAAACATCATCTATGATAATACTTGTAACTCTAACTTGATATCATGCACTATGTACATTCTATGACAACAAACTTAATCAAGATTCACAAGTGAAGTTCAAAACTCTATACAAAGTATCCAAATAGTCAATAATGAGTTGAAAACCCTAAAATTCTGGTTCAAGTTTATTATGGACTAGGGTTTTCTTATTGGACCTAATGGGCCAATAAGCCTTCAATTCGACTATTTTGGGCCTAAATACCCTAATTGGATTCTAAATGGACCCTAAACCTCTTTAATTAAACCATATTGGGCCGTGAACATCTATGAGGGCCCAATGGGCCGGAAAAATAATTATTGGACCCCATAATTTCGAGTAAAGACAAGTAAAGGCCCAAAACTATTCAACTTCTTTCTTCTAGCCCAAATCTTCGTCCCATATGTAAAAAAAATGAATGGATGATGAAATAAGGAGATAAATTAGAAGGGTGACAACACACAATTACATAGCATATATCTAGATGAGCACATGTATCAAGAAGTGTATTACCTTCCATGCAAAACTTTCCTCCCCTCTCTCCTTCTTAATTTCGGCCATAGAGCCAAAAATCACCACCACACTCATTTCACTTACAAAATCTCTTAAGGAAAGCTCTCAAGAACCCCTACATCTTCCTTCAAATTTCGAGATTTTATGTGTATCTTCAAAGAGGTTTTCATCTAGATCATCATCTTTGGTAAGTTTTTGTCATACTTAAGTCTTTGATTTTCATCCTTAAGCTAAGTACACTCCCTTATAAAGTTTCATTCGTGATCTAACATCCTAGAAACCATCTAAGTTCGAAAACCACTCAAGGAGCTTGCTAGAGTCAAAAATCACATCATCTTCTTCCATTTCTTCTTCAAAACTGAAACATCAAAGCAAAGGTGAGTTCATACCCCCTTGTTTTCGGTTTTTACTTGTTTTTGGGGGAGAAT